TGACATGAAATTTGTTCTTTTTTGTAAATGATTTCTTTAACCCTTAAAAAACTAATTAGATATTATGATGTACCCCTAAAACATTTACTGCTTTTACCTATCATTTTTTCATTTGCAATCATTTGTTTACTTATTTATAATCATTTTGCCTAAATTCTGCCTTTCCCATTGGACAGGAACCTCAATAATGGTAAAGATTACCTGTCCATTGATATTGATGATGGCTGGTTGATAAATTATCACTTTTCTGTTGAAGTATTAAGATTGAACATGGTGAATCAATGTGTTCCCCATGTTTGATGCACAACCTCCCCTGACCCAAAATGTTTGCTTGGAAGCAGTATCACAGATTAATTTATCAGATATAAAACCTACTTCCAGGTTTATAATTGGCCTATCATTCTCACTGCCATTAGGGAACATCTCAGTCCCACAGTAATTCAGTATTAGATATGGATGACTAAAAGTAAAGTAATTACAGCAAAAAATATTCCCAAGTAATGTTTCATTTAATAAAAAAGATAATAAACGTTTATTATATACCTGAAAAAGGAGCTGCCAATCAGCTTTAAAGTGATTAAAAATAAGAAAAAAGTCCTTTATGTTCATGTTTATTTTTATCATTTTCAGCACTCTCTATTTGTTTAGTTCTAAGTTTTAGGTCTAAATTTTCGTTTGGTATATTTCTTTTGTCCAAAGAACTTCCTTTTACTAAATTTCTTGCATTATAGGTCTACTGACCATAAATTCATTCTGCTTTTGTTTTTCTGAAAAATCTTTTGCCTTCTCTTTCCAAAGTTATTTGCATGAGATATAGAATTCTTGGTTGACTTTTTTTTTCTTTACAGATTTCATTGTCTTTTGTACATGATTTCTTTCATAATTCTTATCTATGGTCGACTATATATATACATATATATATTTTATGGCTTCTTTTAAGAGTTTCCTTTTTATCTTTAGTTTTAAGCAATTTGACTACAGTATATTTAGGATATGTGTGTTTCTTTTTTTGGTACTCATTTGAGATTCACAAGTTTATTGAATCAGTGGCTTGATGTCTGTCATTATTTTTTCAAAATTATTATCTACTGTCTCAAAATGTTTTCCTTTCTCTGTTCTCATTTCGATACTAATTACACATATTTTAAATTATTTGATATTGTCCCACAGCTCTTTTATTTTTTACTGAATATTTCTTATTATTTTTTCTCTTTGTGATTTAGTTCAGGTAATTTCTATTCACCTGTTTTCAAATTAGCTTTTATTTTCCTCAACTGTGTCCAATCCACTGATGTGCCTAGCAAGGGAATTCTTCATCTCTGATACCGTGTTTTACATTTCTAGCATTTTCATTCAACTCCATCCATTTCTGTTATTTTCCATTTTTTGATTTACGTTGTCCACCTTTTCCACTAGATGTTTTACCGTTTTAATCATAGTTATTTTAAGGAAACTATCTGATAGTTCTAACATGAGTTATCTCTTAGACTGGTTCTAGTGATTCCCATACTTCTTGACAGTGGGCTATTTTTCCTTGCTTTTTAGTGTGTCTCATAACTTCTAATTGGATGCTGTATATCACATTTAGAATAATAGAGACTGAGATTTAAAAAAAAACTGTCTCAGGGTTTTCAGGAAAGCAAAAAATAACCATGGTATACAGTGAGATCCAGGTATGGATAGAGTTTATCTGGTCATCATAATGCAAACATTGAGTATTGATCTAAACAAATACTATGCTATAACTATGTTCGGAGGACAGAAGTATTTTTGTTTGGGGAAACAGCGGGGGTGTAAATGATGAGTTAAATCTTCATCTTCCACAGCGTGAAGTCAATAGTTAGAGCCTAAGATTAAAAAACTGAAAATGTCAATTTAAGCATGTTATTTAGTAATAATGAGGTAAACATTAAACAAATCAGCTTAGAAACATTGAAAATATTTGCTTCTGAGAATTGCAAAGTAGGTGAGAAGAAGAGAGGAGATGAGATGGGAACTATTGCTTTGTTACTAAGCCACAAAGAACTACAGTAAGTCCTTACTTAATGTCAATGATAGGGTCTGTGACTTTAAGTGAAACTAAGTATCATGAGGTCAGCTTTACCATAGGCTAATTGATATAAATGGGAGTTAAGTTCCTATGGCTTCTCATTGTTATGAAACTTTAATTGAGGACCTGCTATGTGTACCTTTTAAAAATAAATGAATATTATATAGATGTCAAATGATAACATACACCTGAAAATTATATAATTGTATTAACCAGTGTTACCCCAATAAACTTAATTAAAATAATAAATAAATAAATAAATAAATAAATAAATGTAGAACTTTGATAAAATTAAAAACAAAGTTCTAAAAGTTCGTCTACACAAGGGTATGAATAAGAATGTGGGGAAAATGGGCACTCTCATATATATGGTAGAGAGATAGTAATTGGTATAAGCTTCAAGGAAGTCAATAGAGCCTTCTATCAAAATTCCAAATTCATTTCTAACTTGTACTTCAGATTTGCCAGAAATTTTTTTCATTTTAGCCTTGTGCGAAGTAAGACTAGAAACAGTCTAAATGTTACCAGTAAGGGAATGGTTAAGAGCTATGCAATGGAATACTGTTTAACCATTAAATAAAACAGAGGCTACTTATGCACTGCGCTGAAATAATCCCCCACGTATAATGCTAAGTGAAAAAGCAAGATGCAGAACAGTACATATTGTATACTACCATTTCTGGAAGAAAAAAAAAGCAAAAGCAAGAGAAATAAACACCAATGTATATGTTTTTGTTTGAATATGCATAAATGGTCTCCAGAAGATCATCCATGAAACTGGAAATAGTTCCAGTTCTAGGTTCCTTCTAGGAAAATGAAGTTGGTGGCGCAGGGATAGAGATGGGAGGAAGGTTTCTCACTGTACACCCCTTTAAGCCTTTTGAATTTAAACCGTTTGAGGCAATTACCTATTAACTTATCAAAATAAAATTATAAAAGTGGTCATGTATACTGGGCTATCCATATGGAAAATAAATTTAATTTGATTTATTCCCTAATTTCCATTCTGTACTATAAGTTCCAAATGAATTAAAAGACTAAATGAGAGAAACAAAATTTTTAAACCTTGAAGGTATATTTATGACATTAAGTTGTCTTAAACAGGACATAAAGGCATATATCAAAAAGAAGGAAAGGTTTGATGAATTTAATTTGACATTAAAATTAAAAACTGACAAAAAGTACCATAAATGGAATGACATGACAGTGACAACTGAGAGAAGACTCTTGTAACACATACTTATCCAATATTTAGTATCCAGATTATATAAAGAACTCTTATGAATTAATACAGAAAAAAAAATAATAAATCACCCCAGTTGAATAAAGTGCAAAAAAACAAGATCAGGCAGTTCACAGAGAAAACCGAACTATTAAAAACAAAATTTCAGCCTCCCTTGTAATCAGGGGAAAACAAATGAAAACATGTCACTATTTCATATACATCAGGTTGGCAAAAGTCAAAAAATATAGCAGGGCCCAGACTGGCTTGGAATGTGGGGAAATGGACACTGTGATATCACACTATTGATGGGAGTATAAATTACTCCACTTTGGAGAGCAATTTGGTAGATGTCAATAAAATTGAAAATATGTATACCTTCAAGAAATTTTTAAACATCTTCATAAGAGACTGGCTCAAAAATGGTTTTTGCGGCCCTGTTTATATTAACAGACTTTTGGGAATAACTAAAATATGGCATCAGGTAAGTTGTGGCAAAATTCATAAACAGGAACACTAGTTACCATTTAAATCACTTCCTTGACAGAATAGTAGTGACTAAGACCATGGATTCCTGATCAGGGCCTCTAGGTTTAGATCCCAGCTGCTTTACTTGGCCAGCTGTGTGACTTAGAGGAGATGATGAACTTCTGGGCCATAGTTGCCTTATTTGTAAAATGAGAATAACAATACTTAACCTCTTAAGAGTTTTGTAAAGATGAAGTGAGTCATAGAACAATGCCTGACACACTCAGCATCAACAAAAATGAGCTGCTGTTTTTTTCGTGTATCAGCATGCATAAATATGTAAAACATGGGAGTTTTTTTAAATTAAAAAGCAAGGTGTAAAATATTAATAGAACAGACCATTTATGTAAATTTGTATCCAGGAAACAATATTGTTTATGAATATATACAGTTATGATAAAAATATAAATACGTACATTAGAAGGATGTAATCACCTTCAGGATAGTGTTTGCCTTTTGAGAGTAAAGGAGGGAAATAGAATTATCAGGGAAATGGCTGGAGCTTCCAATATTTTTAATGTTTATTTTAAATATATTTAAAATAAATATAGCATAATGTTAATATTTATTAAACTTAAATGATGTACACATGGGGTGCCAATTAAATTAATCTCTACCTTTCTATCTGCATCTTTAATAATTTGAAAGTTTAAAGAGAAGCCTTCAAAACTATCAGAATAAATTAAGAGGACTTGTTTGATTTCTTTTCCATAAACTTCTTTTTCCTTTTTTTAAAAATGGAAATATATTTACTGTTCATTTTGATACTAAAATACATACTTACAAATTCCAATGAAAATACTTATGTAACATAGAAAGTGTATATTCCTACATCCCCAGAAATAACTTATTTATAACTTGCTATATATAATTTCAGATATTTTTAGACATATTTAAATATATATAATTTAAACACTTTTTAGAGCTAGGATCACAATTTATATGCTGTTTTTTTAATCTATTTTTTCACTTGTTACTGCATCATGGCCATCTTTCCATTTTAGCATGCTGTATAGAAATCTACCTCATAAATGCCATTTCTAGACATTATTTTAATAGAGGATATATTATCCTATGCTAGCCTAATTTTGATATGATCCTGTCTAAAGGAAGGATAATGGTGTTGACAACTTCAAAATTTTCTTTTGAACTTTATAGTTGTAGAATTTTAATGTAGATCATTTTCTGCTTTTTTAAAAGACATTATTGTAAGAGCATCTCAAGCAGAAGTCGTTATAATCGTGATTTGGAGCAGGATGAAGCGTTTATTCCAGTTGGAGAATCATTAAAAGACCTTATTGACCAGTCACAAAGTTCTGGTAGTGGATCTGGACTACCTTTATTGGTAAGATAAAATGTCACAGAAACATGAATGATTTATTGATACAGAATGTGTCCTCCTATGATAGATAGCATAATTACTACAGATTAGAGAACATTGCTGCGCATATTTTTTTCCCTTATTTGGAAAGATGACAGTAGTAATGCAAAATGAAATTAGTTAAAAATAAGAAATATGAGTGAAATAAGACAAATAGAATAGGCAAGTAAGAGACCTACAAGCAAGGTTAGGAAAGAAAATATGGTTATAAAGTATTATATATGTGCTAGAGTTAGCTCACAAGTTTTACTTTTAACAGCCAACTTGAAGAGGAATTGGGTATAAAATACATCTATAAGATTAAACTGATGGTTGGGAGAAGTATAACTATTTCAGATTCTGAAATCAAAGAGAAGTTTCTTCCACATATTTTCATAGAGAAGATGCTTCCCTCAATATTATACCATAGTACCAAAACACAGTTTGTACAAATAATTTTAAAGAGAATTGTTAATAATTCCAGTAAGAGGGTTATATGTAAGGAAATACTCAGATTTAGGGGTTGAGAGGACCCTTATAATAAACATCAGATATTCAGATAGATATTTGTTTAATTGTATTTGTTTAAATACAGTTATCTCTAATTTAAAAATTCATTGAATTAAATAATTCTGTAATCGAATTGGAAAGGTAAAGTAAAACTGTGTTTATATGCAGACAACATGACTGTCTATGTAAAAAATCTCAAGGATGATACCATAAAGCTACAACAACCAATAAGTGAGTTTGTCAGGGTTGTAGAATATAAGGTCATTGTACAAAAATCATTGAATTTATGTACACTGGCAAGAAACAATTAGGAATTAAAAATTTTTTAAGCTGCATCAGTTGAAATAGCATCATAAAAAATTCACTATATGGAATAAGCTTAACAAAATTTATGTTAAGACCTGTGCACTGAAAATTAGAAAACATTGCCAAAAAGAATTAACAGCCCCAAATAAGTGGAGATGTATATCCTGTTTGTGATTCAAAGGACTCAGTATTGATGTCAGATTTTCTAAAATTGACTTACAGTTTCAATTCAATGCAAATCAAAACCAAAACAAGCTTTTATAGAAATTGATGAGCTGATTCTAACATTTATATGGAAATGCAAAAAGACCTGTAAGAGCCAAAAGAGTTTTGGAGAAAAAAAACCCCGAACAATTCACTACCTGATTTCTGGATTTAGTATAAAGCTGCAGTAATCAACACTGTGCTGCAAGCATAAGGATAAATATGTTTATCAGTGAAATAGAATAGAGAGTCTAGAAATGGACACACACATATATGATCAATTGAGTTTTGTGCCAGAATAATTCAGTGGGGAAGACAGTCTGTTCAACAAATGGTGCAGGAAAAATTGGGCATCCATTTGCCAAAAAGAGAATCCCAACCCTTACCTCATTCCATATACAAAATTACCTTAGAATAGATCATAGACCTAAATGTAAAAGTTAAAATATAAAACCTTTAAAAGAAAATATTTTAGAAAATCATTGTGACTTTGGGTTGAGCAAAGATTTCTTTAGCACACAAAAGGCATGAATCATTTTGTAGTGATAAATTAGGCGCTTTATCAGAATTTAAGGCTTTTCCTATTCTGAAGACACTGTTAATGAAATGAAAAATAAAGTCACAAACTGGTAAAGATCAGATAAAGAATTTGTGTTACAGAGTATATAAAGAACTTTTATAATTCAGTATTAAGACAAACAATTCAGTTTTAAAATGGACAAAAAATGTGAATAGACACTTTCCCAAAGAAGATATAAGAATGGCAAATAAGCATATGAAAAGATACTAATCATCATGAGAGAATACAAACTAACACAATGAAATGCTACTATGCATCCACTAATATGGCTGAGACTGAGGATATCAACTAGAAATCTCATATATTGCTGATTGAAATGCACAGTGATACAGCCACTTTGAGAATAGTTTGACAGTTGACTGAAAACTTAAACACACAGCGAAGCAGTCCTGCTAAGTATTTGCATAAGAGCTATGCAAACATGGCCAGACAAAGACCTGAATGTGAATGTTTATAGCAGCTTTATTCATAATAGATACAAATTGTAAACGAAAGTTCATCAATTGTTATGTGGATAAGTGGTGGTACATTCATAGAGTGGAATACAACTCACCAATAAAAAGGAACAGACTACTGATACGTGCAACATGATGAATTTGAAAGCGTTTTATGTTAAGTGAAAAAGCTGAGACACAAAAGACTACATGCTGTATGTTTCTATTTATGTGATATTCTAGAAAGGCCAAACTGTAGGTACAAAACAGATCAGTGATGCCAGAGACTGGGGGTGGGTGAGGGAGGATTGACTTTAAAGAGGCTAAAAGGGAACTTTTTTGAGTGATGGCTATTACATGACTCTACACATTTGTCAAAACACAGTTCTCAAAAACGGTGAATTTTATTATATGTAAATGATACCTCAATAATCCTGAGTTTCTGAAAAAAATTATAAAAGGATTCTGCAATAAAATGATTCCTCAAGTAAGTTAGATTCTGTGGGTCTGATTCTTTGGGTCGCTGGGCATTCCTTTTTCTGGACTTGCTCGGCTAGAGCTAGATGAAACTGTTCATGCACCTGGCCAGCGATTCACAAGGTATTGTAAATTGGTCACAGGGCTCCTAAGGGTAGTAAGAAGGGCAAGTTCCAGTGCGCCCTTTTTAAGTCTTCACTTGCATCACACTTTCTATTGTTCTGCTACTCAGAGCAAATGTTGTGGCCAAACCAAGCCCAGAGTTTATGGAGGAGATAACCCAAGGGTGTATGTACTGGGAGGGGTATTACTTTGAGCTTTTTTGGAAGCAGTCTGCCACATTGACTAACCTGTTACTTATGATTTTGGAATATGTTGTATATTGTTTCATCTTCTTTTAAATACCTTTTAATTTTTGACATTGGAGTTGGTTGGTTGTATATACCATCCTTTTTGATGGAATGGACTGTCAGACCACTTTCTCAGTCTTAATAGATTCTTTTCATCAAGAGCTCAAAATATTTTTTTTTTTTTTATGAAGGTTCAGCGAACTATTGCCAAACAGATTCAGATGGTTCGGCAAGTTGGTAAAGGCCGATACGGAGAAGTGTGGATGGGTAAATGGCGTGGTGAAAAAGTAGCAGTCAAAGTGTTTTTTACCACTGAAGAAGCTAGCTGGTTTCGAGAAACAGAAATCTATCAAACTGTGCTAATGCGCCATGAAAATATACTTGGTAGGTACACATTTCATTTCAGTCAATTCCATATTCTGACAAGGTTAGTAGGGTGTGGGTGGAAGCTTGCCACATGGGCTCTGAAAACATGTGAATTCCGTTATATGCATTAGGCTAAAGGAAACCCAGTAGAATACATAGTTTAAATACACAGTTTAAATACAATAAGCCCTTAATGCCAACCAGCCGGTTTATTTACTACCCTACTGGTGAGACAGTGGTAGTTTCAAATTGGAAGTAATGTCAGTTTATTGGACTTATCATACAGTAACAAAAACCATGTCTTTTTTAAGTAATGTAAGTAATTTTGTAGGATAACTTTATGTATACCTTTTGCCTTTTGTAAACTAAACTGCTACCACCATATGATGTAGCTTAATATTCTATGCTTAGTAGGTCTCTTCCTCCCCACTCTCCCATTTACACAGTAGGAAAATAATTTAGTTATGATCTGGTCAGTAGGATACGTAAACTCATCTAGCTTTCCTGACTTTTCTTTTCAGCTACTGTTTCTCTTTTAGACAGTGTATAGCACAATGCTCAAGAGTATAATAGGCACTTGTATCAATTTCCTAAGGCTGTCATAACAAGTTACCACAAACTCGGTAATTTAAAACCATGGAAATTTATTTTCTCTGAGTTTTGAGGCCTGAAGTTTAAAATCAAGGTGTTGATGGGGCCATGCTCTCTGAAGGCTTTAGGAGAGGACCCTTCCTTGCCTCTTCTTGCCTTCTGGTGATTGCCAGCAATCTTTGGTGTTCCTTGGCTTAGAGACAGCACTCTTTCGTATCTCTGTCCCTGTTATCACATGGCCTCCCCCCTGTGTCTGTGTTCAAATTTGCCTCTTATAAGGTTACCAGTCATTTAATTATGACCCACTTTAATCTAATATGACCTGATCTGAATTTCATTACATCTGCAAAGACCATTTCAAAATAAAGTCACATTTACAGTTGCCATATGTACATGAATTTGAGAGAACACTATTCAACCCAGCACTTTTACTGGCCTTTTTCTTAAAGGAGAAAGGAGAAGGAAAGGGGGTCACTATTATGGACCTGTTTGTCAACAAGCCAGACTGTAAAGGAGGCATTGATGGGAAAATGGAATTGGCTTAATTAGGTGGAAACTCTTAGATGAACATTTTTAACTTTAGTATTGTAATGTATCCACTTTTCGATTTGAAATCGAGAGCCTTTTTCATGTTCCTTTTTTATGGCTCTTCATGTTTACGGAATCACATAGCTGTAAACACTCTCCCAGATTATTATTTATGTGATCTTCTTAGTTATATTATAATTTTCATGATCATTATATTAAGTTTATTGCAGAAATATAGAGTTATAAGTGTAAATGGCAGAAATAAAAATCTTGAGAACAAATTCAGGAGATTTTGTTAGGCAAATTTAATGTTTAATGTCTACATGGTACCTGAGTTATTCTCAGTATCTTGAATGAGCATTCATTATCCTCCATAGCCACGTCTGATAACTAACCTTTTGAACTTGTTAATTAAACAGGTTTTATAGCAGCAGACATTAAAGGTACAGGTTCCTGGACTCAGCTCTATTTGATTACTGACTACCATGAAAATGGATCTCTCTATGATTTCCTGAAGTGTGCTACATTAGACACCAGAGCTCTCCTCAAGTTGGCTTATTCAGCTGCTTGTGGTCTGTGCCATCTCCACACAGAAATTTATGGCACCCAAGGAAAGCCTGCAATTGCTCACCGAGACCTAAAGAGCAAAAACATTCTCATCAAGAAAAATGGAAGTTGTTGCATTGCTGACTTGGGCCTTGCTGTTAAATTCAACAGGTGAGTGATTCTTTGCCCGCTGTTTAGAAATTATGTTAATCTCAGGACAGTGCAATTCCAAACATGTATTTATGCTTACATAGTTACATAGTTATATAAATAGGTAATTGGGATTTTTGTCATGGTTTATTTTGGTGGGTTATGTTTGCTTTGTTAACAAAAACCGCATTTTACTCTACATAATTCTTGGTTTCCTTTATTTTCTTAAATATCCTTCTGTTTCAGTTTATATAGACATACTTCATTTTTTCAATAGTATCGATCAGAGTTTTTCAAAATATGAATGTACTATAATTTATGTCATGGCCCAATTGATAAGCATTAAATTTGCCTCTGGTTTGTCTCTCTTATTTAAAAAATGCTTTTTAATGGACATTTTATTTTATTTATATATATTATATCCTTGAACACTTATACAAGTATTTTTTCATAATGGATTCCTAGAGAGGAGTATGTACGTATTAAGGTATATTGCAAGTTATGCCTTCAGAGCGCATGCGTCAATTTATACTCCCATAAATGATATAAATATGCCATTTCTCCATCACTACTTGATACGTTGTTAATATTTTTAAACAATTATAAAATTTTTGAGAAACTATTGAAATCATTTTAATGTTGTTATAACTCTAGAATACAGCAGTCATTTCACATTTCAGAATTAATTTCAGGCCATAAGATAAAAATACTAGTCCATACCAAAGTAAACATTAAAAAAATTAAATCTTCTCTGGTCATTACAGTGTTCTAACCCTGGTTTTTGTTTTTGTTTCTGTTTTTTAAATAATGTAGTGTTTATTGGTTCAAATATTTATCAGATGCCATATAGGAAAATATATATTAACCTATGCTTCACAGTAGTTTCTAAACCTATCAGAATTGAGGACCTAAACAACAAAACATTCATGTCTTCCCACTCTAAAATTTACTCCAAAAGTTGAAAAACCAATAAACATCATTTATTAATGGTTGTCAATGTGATTATGTAAACATTACTCATAACAGAACTAAGATGATTGGACCCATGAAGAAAATGTAATCCTCTATCACATGAGAATGGTGAAAGCAAAAGATTCCTCTCAGTTTATTTTCACATTCACTTGTTCTGGGACATAATTATCTACCACTTTTTCTTATATTCAGTGTTGTCCTTTTTCTTAGAGAAACACCAAACTTGTTTGGTGACAAAACCTGACCTGACGGTATCTATTGTCTTTATCCAGCCTCATATGAATAGTCATACTTAATTTTTCAATACAGACTAGTAAACATTTTGATTAAGAATACTACTCTAGACCCTTCTAGGTATAATATGTAGCACATTTTTAAAGGGTATAATATTTTTCTAAAATCTGAAAGATACTAAATTTTAAAATACATCTGACCCCAATGATTTCTGATGAAGGAATGTAGAGATTTTGGATGGATAGATGGATGGATAGATGATAGATAAGTAGATAGATAAATAGATAGATGATAGATAGATAGATATTTTTATTATATATATGTATATATATACACATATATATGTGTATGTGTATATATATATATATATAGAGAGAGAGAGAGAGAGAGAGAGAGGCTATTAGAAAATAGAAATGGAAGGTAAACTATTTTATTTTTGACTATCAACCTGGATATTATCTGTCTTCTGTTTCAGCGATACAAATGAAGTCGATGTACCCTTGAATACCAGGGTGGGTACCAAACGCTACATGGCTCCAGAAGTGCTAGATGAAAGCCTGAATAAAAACCATTTCCAGCCCTACATAATGGCGGACATCTATAGCTTTGGCCTAATAATTTGGGAAATGGCTCGTCGTTGTATCACAGGAGGTAGGAGTTTAGGGAATTTGTTTCTGGTTATGTTTGCATCCTCATCATTCAAAAAAACTTAACAGCTCTTGTTATATCATTTGTATGTCATGTATGTCATAGATCACTCCCAAGTTCTATGATTTCACTAGAAGGACTCATAGGACTCCGTATGTAGTTGTCCTCACAGCTAAAATTTATTAACAGTGACGGGATACAAAGCAAAATCAGCAAAGGGAAAAGTACATGGGGCAAAGTTTGGAGGAAATCGGGCACATTTTCTAAAGTCCTCTCCCAGTAGAATCACACAGGATGCACTTAATTCCTCCAACAATGTGTTAAATAGTATCATCTAGGGAAGTTATTAGAGACTTAGTTCCCAAAGATTTTATTGGAGGCTGGTCACATGGGCACTCTGCCTAGTGTGTACCAAAATTCCAAACTCTCAGAAAGCAGGTGTTCAGCATAAACCATATTGTTTGTACAAATAGTCTAGGCACATTGCACCATTCTTATCATTTAGGGAGTTTTTGATCAGTGTAGGAAGCTGTCCACCAGGCAAGTTCCCATAAACTATCCGGAGGCCAGCCTTGTAAGCAGGCCTATGTAAGGATAACAGTCTCAGGCTTGCTGTGTTATCTCTTTTCTATATATCATGGTGTCTTTCTACTGCAGAACAAAACAAAAATAAAGACTGCATTCATTGTTAGTAGGAACAATTGTGTACATAAATAATTAGCTTAAAATTTAGGGTAAGTGAGTGTTTCACCCTTCTTTTTTTTAGAGATAATATATTGGTATGTCCACAGCTATAATTGGGATCCCGATGAATGTAGGGGAAATAATTAGACATTAAAAAAAGAGAGAGAGATAACATACATTTTCTATTAAAAGTTAATCATCCACTCAAGTATTTTTTTCTTCTTTATGTAGGAATCGGTTTTAGTTCCATAGTTCAGTAAGCTGAATAGATTGATATATTTTGTCCAGCCACCATTTTGTGCCCACTATGTTTTCTTATTCCCTACAGGGATAGTAGAAGAATACCAGTTGCCATATTACAACATGGTACCCAGTGATCCATCATATGAAGACATGCGTGAGGTTGTGTGTGTCAAACGTTTGCGGCCAATTGTGTCTAATCGATGGAACAGTGATGAAGTAAGTTGAACTCAGTTCTTTGAGGAATTGATTGGTGTCACCAAAGATATTTACCTGCTCACTACCTTCTCTTTACTTTTCAGTGTCTACGAGCAGTTTTGAAGCTAATGTCAGAGTGCTGGGCCCACAATCCAGCTTCTAGACTTACAGCTCTGAGAATCAAGAAGACACTTGCTAAGATGGTTGAATCCCAAGATGTAAAGATTTGACAGTTAAGCAATCATGAGAAGAAATTCTAGACTGACAGAACTGTTTTCACCTAAGGAACGGGTGGAATTAGAGTAGAATAAGGATGTTAACTTGGTTCTCAGACTCTTTCCTCACTACACCTTCACAGGCTGCTAATATTAAACCTTTCAGTACTCCGTAGAATATAAGCTGGGAACTTCTGAACACTTAATTCTTCATATATGGACAGCTTTATTTTAAATGTGGTTTTTGATGCCTTTTTTTTTTTATTGGGTTTTTATGAACTGCATCAAGACTTCAATCCTAATTAATAAGTCTCCAGTCAAACTCTGGGTACTGAATTACCTGTTCATAAAATGGTGCTTTCTGTGAAAGCCTTAAGAAGATAAATGAATTCAGCAGAGATGGAGAAATATACATTTGCCTTCTACCTGAAAAATTTAATCTATTTGTATTCTACCTTTGTAAACAGCCTATGGGTTATGATTTGTTTGGGATACTGCTTAGTTTATGATAGTTTGTCATGCTTTGATAATGGTGTGTGTACACACACATGCACACCAGGATTTCTCTGTTGCTATTTGAATTAGAAGAAAATAATTTATGAATGCACAGGAACATATTAGTGGTAGTTGATTTTGTGCTTTAAAAATGCATGATCTGACCAAGATTTGCCAATCACATAAAAGCCATTTACCTTGCAGGTGAGCTAGCTTCTCCACCAACTTTATTTTTAACATAAAAGTTGATAAAAGGCCAAAAGAAGTTGAAAGTGCCCGTAAATTTGAACTGTTTTTCTCTTATCACCATCTTTTTTTGTTTTTGGTAATTATTATTTTTGTCCTAAAAAGCATCCTATCCAAAGTTGGAACTCCCAATGCCATGAACCTTGTAAAGAAAACACTTCTTATTGAAGTGAATTACTAATTACTACATTCGATAGCAATGTTAAGTGCCTATAACCACATTCTGTATTCTTTATTCTCAGTAACTTTTAAAAGGGAAGTTATTTATATTTTGTGTGTAATATGCTTTATTTGCAAAACACCTGCTCCTTTTACAATCATATTTTATATATGTACATACATTCATACTGTAGAAACCAGCTCACATGTACCTCACATCCCATCATTAAGGGGAAAAAAATAAAAGATTAGAAGAAAATATTACAAAGTAGAACTACATATGAATTTTCAGAACTAATACATTCAAAGTAGTGAATCAAACCTAGGACTTTGTTAACTTCAGGCATAGACTTTCATTAAGATACTATCATCTCAATTTTCCTTTATGAAAGAATCCTCTAAATAGAAGTTTCTATTTCAGAGCTGATATATGTTTATCAGCAACTGTTTTAGACACTTAAATCATTTGAGGTTTTTGATTTTATGATTTCTGTTCCATAACTTGGGAGGACAATGAAGGGTCAGGCACAAAAGTTAAGTATCTAGTCAGTACTTACTGTCTATACCATATAGCTGTTATTCAAGAAAATGCTACATATTTTATGAATGCCTTGTTATCCCAAGGAATAATTTTAATTTACTTAAACTTTTTATACTTCTGTAATGCCTTTTAAATATTAATATCTTATTCTGAACAAACTACTCATGGGTGCATAAAGTGAGACAGTGTTCTTTGAATATAACATAAATGTGATTTTTCACAACATGGTCAAAATACTTTAAAGGGAAGGAATCAGAGCATGTATTCATTCATTACCAAAATTTAACTAGCACTTAAGGCTGAAACTTGTATATCTGTCTGTACATCAAACTTCACACATTTGAAACTTGCTTTAACAATTTTGGCTAAGTTTAATAATTTTCACCTAACAACTCAAGTTAGAAATGTTCATCAAGGTAAGTAAATTGACATTTGATAGTACCCAATAACTTGCTTTTTCTAAATGTTTTCCCCATGTCTATACTGAAATTTATAGATATTTTTATCTAAATTGCCATGTGATTTAAGAACACTTATGAGTTCAAATCTCTTTAGTCTAAGATTAACCTTGATTTATTTTTTATTTGATAAACTACAAATCTTGAAAATCACTTGTTATGTTAATAATAAAATATGTAAGGAAAGGCAAGCTCTAGTCTTAGAAATGTTAAAATAGTATGTGGAAGCAAAACATTGCAAATAGTATATAAGTACAAGACAACTGTAATGATTCTTTTAAATTAAATTGATCCGTTAAACATGATATCAAGAATTAATGTTAGAGACTTGTTCAGTAAAAATATTTTCTAGTATAACCTGTTTTTAAAAAGCAAACGATGCTTTTTAAGATTTCAAAATATTTGAAATCTTAAAGTCTAAAAAAAGTTGCATGATATTTATTTTCTTCCTCCATCTTACTCTTAAATTTCTGAGTTCACTCAATAAGTGAAATATTTAAAGAGGAAGAGGAAGGAAGTATTACATAGTACTATAGTTAATAGTCATAAAACCCTAAAAGCCATTATTTGGTATCACAATTTAGCATTTTAAAAAATGTATGGCTTCTGTCTGTCATTCCTTTAAATAATTAAAACATAAAATCAAAAAACTCAGAGCTACCTGGATATAACAAAAGTTAACCCTCAAAGAGAATTTTTCTTATGAATTCTTTTTATACTAGTAAATATCTCTAGAATTAAAGGCACATTAGAATTGGCTTCAATGTATTCTGAGCTTTCCTTGTGCCTTTTTATTGAACAAGTTTCCAAAGCATAAAATTTGAATCTTATTTCTCTGGAAATATTTTCACAAAAGCTATTCCAATCAATATATCATGTTGCCTTTTCAATGTCTAGAAGTATTTCTAAACTTAGAAAGTGACCTATAGTTTTTGAAAATCGTTTTTCTACAATGTGCCAGATTTATTATTTATTCACTCAGAAATATAGTGCCTTTCTCCCCCAGATTTTTTGTTTCTGTTTAAAACAAAAATACAATACAGTTTTAAAGAATCATGAATCTCTAAGTTAGCCCAAAGTCACATTTGATATTGATGAATAATTTATTCCAGAGAAGATTTTATGAATTAAATCACTTATATTTCTTTTCGTACATGTTGTTTTGAAATGTTTCTAAATATCTAAAATAATTTCAACAACAGAAATACTGATTTTTAAAAGGATTATCGCACCTCTTGTACCATTCAAAAGTATGGTAATGTTATTTGCTTAGGTCAGATGTTAAAATAGCAGTGTAGCAGTTCTTGCCTCCGTACTGTTATGAGTGTCACAGTGAAAATTGCAGACAGCTGACATATTCATAAAAACCAAAATAAATCTAGAGCAGCATCAAATGGAGCCACATGTAATGATCATCCCACAAGGAAAGTATGTGAATACTGCTTTTGAAAAGGATTAAATATATTGTAATTTTAGCTTGTGCTTTGTACTATGCTTTCAGTGGAATTATTTAAGCTCTTCTAATGACTGTTGTCCTTGCCCATTTAAAAACTAAAATATAGTATATATTGTATAAAATGAAAATATCATTATAGCTTAATTAGAGAAGTTGTACAGAGACCTTGAAAGAAGGGTTAAAAAAACAAGCAGTTTCATTATGCAGTTGTAAAACACCAAAAATACAGATTCATCTTTGGTATGTAACACACTAAATGTATTTTATACAGCATCTAGCTTAAAAGGTGCCTTATTAAGTTTACCATTAACTGCTTTGTTCTATGTATAAATTACGTCTAATGTATCATTTTTAAGTAAATAACCTTATTTTAGTATACTTTAGTGATGTGTTTTATGATACTCTACTTGGATTGTATTGTGTATCAGAAGCCACATGTGCCTGGTGAGATTTTATAACAAATAAGTTAGTGTACATACATTTGTCCCTGAGATGTGCATTTCAGCTTCCGGAAACCCAGTACGGAGCACGGGGCAGGTAAGTGACATGGAACCATATATTCTTTGTGTAGATAGAGAATTCATAAACCTATTATAGTAAAGGTTGTTCTTAAAACATACACACATTTTTTTCTAGTTTTAAAGATGTGTAATTACAGAAATTTTGGAAAACATAGGAAAGAATCTAAAAAGCAAATAAAATCATTCAAAATTCTATTGTCAGATGTTACCACTATTTACATTCAAATGTTTCTTTTTAATCTTTTTTCTGCTACATATATTCTTACAGTATTAAGATGTTATGTCACATATAGCCATTGAAAACAGTTTTTAAAAAAGTGACTAATATTCCATCTGCTTGATGGAATATTTATTTTTTTCAATTCCCTATTGAATATTTGGATTATTTTACATCGTTTTGGAAAATATAACCAAGGCATTGAACATCATTATATATAAATCTTTGTACATTTTCTTAGATTACCTTTCTAAAAATGGGCCTAGTGAATATGAACTTTTAAAAGATTATTTAAGATGGAAAAAAATCTTAGGTTTTTTATAAATATTGCCATATTGCTGCCCAGAGAATTTTCATTTACACAGCTACTCACAGTGTAAAAGAGTACTCATCTCACTACATGCGCAGGGCATTTCTTCCAAGGTTTTATCTTTTTGCTAGCATCATGCCTGGTCTCTTGTCCTGTAACTGGCTTTTTCAAATAATGGAATCCATTTATCTGGCCTTATGGTGTTCCTGCTGTGTCAGTGCTTTTTGGAAAGCTTAAACTTCAGGGAAGTAAAGGTAGCTTTCTTTTTGTTCTGCAACAATACCATTTTCCTTCCTGCACTTAGTCTCACCACCTGTCAGCTGTTTTCAGTTGTCTGTAAATTCATTCCTAGTGATGCCTTTTCTTAGGCAGTTGAACGTGTTAAATCATCAAAAAGATTTGGGACTAGTTGATGTCTGCCCACAAAAGTAAATGTTTGGAGAGTCTACGGCCATGCTACCCTGAACACGCCTGATCCCGTCTGATCTCAGAAGCTAAGCAGAGTCGGGCCTGGTTAGTACTTGGATGGGAGACCACGTAGGAAGACCAGGTGCCGTAGGCGTAAAAAATAAAAAAATAAAGCATTGTAAGTTAACAAGGTCCTTGCAGTCTGTGAGGTCAACCAAGGGTTGCTTCGCCTAAAAAAAAATAAAATGTTTGGAGATAGCCAATTACACATTCTTCACAAGAATCTTCTTTAGTATCTGTGAGATAGTTTCTTGAAACAATAGCATGCACTCATGCAGCTTAATGTAGAATCAGGGTTTTTCTGGGCCTGTTAAATACTTGCAGGCTTTCATTCCTTGTAAAAGCCTAGATAAATGCATTCATTTTTCCTTCCAGCATAATCTGTTACTCTCACTGGTCAGTTGGAAGAGTAACTATTTTCAAGGTTTCTTTAATATTAATTGTATTAATATGAGTAGACATTAAGAAATGATACAGTTCTCAAAATAGTCTAATCCTTTTAGTAGTTTCAAGAGATGCTAATTCAATCTTCATTCACTTGGAGAAATGTTTATCTACTTGTTGCTAGTGCATGGACCATTTCTGGCATTTCAGACTTTATTAAATTATATGCATATTCCTATGAAGACTTGCTTGAGACCTTGAAGCAATACAGTCTTGACTTGGTGGACATGGTTCACTGAAAGTGGCCAGCCAGTAGTGTAGGCAGAGACTACCTAATGGTGGTGATACTGTTCTAGTCACGGGGAGTTAAATACTGTGAGCTCAGGGTACAAGCCAAAATGGGCAAGTCACCCTGAGGCTGAGAACAGGAAGAGGAAACAATTCAAGTGCACAGGTACGTAGAAAAAATATTTCAGACGCAGAGACTAGGGCTGAAAGGCTAATTCATAATCACCCTTTGAGGTAGGAACTGCTATTCTCATTTTTAGGTGCATTATGTGTGGCTTACCTCTTACTCCTCTGAACTTCATCTTCCTGGTCTTTGTCCAGTTACTTTCACTCAGAGTATCCCATGTATGCTCAAAATGAAATTCAAGGCAATTCCAGATAACCTGGTGTCCCTTACATCCACTTCACTACTCATCCTAAATTTTGCACAGGCAACTTGAAATGTTACCAATATTTAAAAGTCAATATGAAATTCTTATACTGAAAATATTTTCAAGGTAAAAGAAGAAAGAACTTGGGCCTTTTTTTTTTTTTTTTTTTTTTGAGGGAGGAGCCATTTTTTTAAAGCAAATTTAGAATCAGATTGCTGACTTGGGTTGATAAAGTACATCTATTGCTTTGTTCTCTATTACTCTCCTGTACTAAAATCCAAGTAAGTGTTGAAAATGGTAAAAGACAAGCTGTGACAGAAAAGACTACTGTTGTGGAATACATTTCAGTCAAACACAAAGCCATTTTTATATTTGATTCTGTCATACTTTGCTAGTATTTTGGCTGGAGATAGAATCTAACTCTGAAGATACTTACTCCATGGTCTTCCAGCATCCCTTACTGCCAGTGAGAAGTGTGACATGTATCTAATTAACTTCTTTGTAATTTAACTTAATTTTTCATACAAGAAACAATTTTTGAAGTTTAACTTGTATGTCTAGTTACAAACATTCTGTTACTCAGTAGTAAATGGGTCCTTTTAATTTTTCCTTGGATTTGGGAACTTCCATTATTTATTTCATCCCTTCTTTCACTTTTCTTATTCTAAAACTATTAGACAAATACTAGGATGCCCATATGTTTCTAACAGATTTCATAACGTCTCTTTTATGTTACATCCTACTGTTTGCTTTTCAGCCCATCTACTGAGTTTTTTATTTCAGCAACCAAATTTTAACTTCTATTTTGAAAGAATTTCAAACTTCCAGAAAAGTTGCAAAAATAGTATAAACAATGCCATTTACCCTTCACCCAGATTTATAAATTTACATTTTGCCACAATCGCTTTTTCATTCTGTGAATGTATACAAAAATCACAAAGGCTCATCTTAGAATTTGTGTACACACATATATACACATACTTTTTTCTGAACTACTTGTACTAAATTTGCAGAGCCCACGCCTCTTTATCCCTAAATACTTCAGGGATAATCTATTATATAACCATTTATGTACAGTTCTCAAAATCAGGAAAGTTTACATCGATACCATAACAATCACCAGCAATACCATAATCTGAAGACCTTTTAAGTTTTGCCAGTCATTTTGTTAAAGTCTTTGAGAGCATGTTTTTCTGGTCCAGAATCTATCTAGTATCTTACATTCAGTTGTCTCCCTATTCACCTTCAATCTGAAACACTTCTCCAGCTCTTGTCTTTTGTGATACTGACATTTTCTGGAGTAAAGGTTAGTGAATTTGTGGACATGATGTCTATCCTTCTCAGGGCATCCCATCAGGAGGCCATGATGTAGATATCACCATTATGGACTCATGGATTCTTATTTTTTTCAATGAGTTATAGTCTTATTAGATCATTATTTATTTTGACGTTCAAATTGACCCAGACTTGGCTACTGGGAGTTCAAACTAGCTCCTGAGTGCTTTTGACCGGTGCTCATCATTTTTAAAGCACGTGTTGCTTTTTGTCACATTAAGATGTTCCAGGCTCATCTGGTACTTTCCTTACCCCAGCCATTTTTCCAGGGCACCCTGGTTCCTTTTAGGGGAGCGACCAGGATCTGGGTTGCAAATAATCAACATTTATGTTTACAATTTTTTGTGTTTTTTGAGAGATTTATATATTCCAAAATCTTATTCATGACGCTGCTTTTCTACAAATGTTTGGCAATTTGGGGCTAGTTGCTCATTTTTGTATTAGTGAATCCTTGTTCATCTCAGTTCCATGTTCCTCAGCTTCCTGTTTTTATTAGAGAGTGTGGAATAATAGCTATTTGTTAGAGCAAACGTAAGTAATCCTTTCTTCTCTGCCTACTCAACAGGATTCAGGCTTTCCCCCACTCCATTTATTTACCTCCTTTACTCTCCTGCCCCAAAGAGTTTGTCATTGCCAGGCCAGGTTTGGGGGAGGTTCTTCATGGAGAAGGGTAGGGTAGTGGGACTAGAGCTCCCAGAGGAGTTTTTGATGTTTATCTCAAGATAAACATCATGGGATACCAGAGGAGCTTCAGGGGATGAGAGAAGAGCTTTAAGACCATATATCCCCTCCATGGTGTTTTCTGAAATAAAGGTCAGGAGTTATTTCGACATTATGTTGTGGTTTGTGGAAACTCATCTTTGGATTGACTCCCTCGGGTTTGATCTCAGTAAGGTTATAAGTGTCATCTGGGTGTGGGACCTTCCTGTCTCCAGAGAGTTAGTAGCTACCCCAACTTGAGGCTCAGGATTGACCTGCACTACTTAACTCAAAGCAGAGACCACTGCTGCTGCCTGCTGGCTGCTTTGCACAGGCAAGGGACAAAGGGACTGACTGGGCCCTTCTCCCAAGTGTGTGAGGGGCTGGGTTTGAATTTGGGGTCCCCTGAAATCACTCCCATCCCTCTAACAGTCTCAGAGTTTGGGGTTATGATTTCATGTTGTTGTTTCCCTTCTTCCTACTTTTTAGGAATTACTAAAATTTTCTGATCTGCTTATGGTACCCTTTTTTGTTTTTCAGTGGTATTTTGTTATTATTTTTTTTTTCTATCAGGTTTGAGAAGGTATGATACTACTGTGTACTCAGTGAGCTCTCTTGTTTAGGATGCCACAAGTGAAGGGTGTTTTAACATTGACCTGGGGTAACAGGGCATCTACTTGGAAGACAGTGAAAAAGATTCCACCGGAGATATTAGATGCCTTAGTGGAGATAAGAAATCTATCAAATGAACTTTAGAATTCATTCTGATCTGGAGTCCCAATTATAGAAGTATTAAAATAGAAAATTTGCACTTAAACTTTATATTAAGGTTTTGTGAAATTTGCAGGCAAAGCACTCTGTCTAAAACTCATTGTTTCTCTAATTCTCATCCCAGAAACTTCTGGAGCAACTTTCATGCTGCTGGCAGAGCTTATCAGTTAGCACTTCTATGTATAACTTCTCTCTTGAAGAGCACCAGCCATATGAGGTTTGGAGGACATGTGCCCTTTATGGGGAAGATCAATTTACTCTATGTGCAATAAATTCCAAATGAAAATTTTAAATAAGACTGCATCACCCTGATGTTTCCACTTAGTCATCAGCATGGCCTGAACAATAATAGCAATACTGAGCAGAAAGAACACATGGTGTGGTCTTCTTAGCAGCAAGGGTGACCTGGTACTGGCTTTCCAGTCTTTGGTCTGGAATGGGCCACATACGTCATGCTTTGGGTCAGGATTGGTCTTGGTAACAGACCTGCACCCGGTGAGAACCCCTGGCAAGAGTTTGGAAAGGCAGGTAGGTGAGAGTTGAAAGTGCAGTCAAGATAATAAAATACAAGAATACTTAATAAGAGTTGTCAAGTAAACCACCTCATGCTACAGGTTGTGATTCACTCCAATGTCAAACTGTCAGTGGCAGAGTGGCCTGGAATACTGTTCCTTTTAATGCTGATGTCTAAGCACATTGAGCACACCAAGTTTAGTGGTAACTAAATCCTGAGGGATAATTACTTGAATTAATGACCTCCAGAAAATATGAGAAGGGCTGGCACCCTGTTAACCCTGACAACCAACTCCTGTCCTTTTTCACTACCCAGCCCATTTGATTTTCTTATGAAGAAGAGTATATTCAACAAATATTGAATACTAACTACAAAACATAAACATTTTCTGACAACTAGATGACTGCTTTCTCAAGCCTGTTGCTCTAGAATCCAGTTTTTTTAAAACCGTATGTTGATACTGCAGTAATTGCAACTCTAAGCTGTATGTACTGTCTAATCCAATATTAATGTCAAGGCCTACTTTGGAGGCCTCAGAGTGTTTTATGTAGAATTAACTAAAATTGTGAAGTAAGATAGGGCCCTGAATAATGAAAGTCACATTTATCCCAAATAGTTTCATTTTGTCCCACATTTCCACCTACTTTACCAAATCTTTTTGCTCTCCATAAGTAAACCAGGCAGAGATTTGAAGGACATTGCTTTATTCCAAAGTCGATGAAATTGATGGATATTTTTACAATCTTTCTTTCCCTCCCTCTCTCAGCTCCCTTCCTGGTAGAGAGGCTAATAAGAATTAGGCTGCTCATAAGCTATTGGAGGAAGTAAAAGGGTGAAATCTCTATATATTTTAGTTCATGGTTGGCATCTCTTGGCCTTTATCCTGTATGAGGGTAGGAGAAAAAGAAGGGAAACTAAAGTTACGGATAAATTCAAGGAAGGACTGAGACTAAGGAAAAAATACTAATTGTGTTTTCCTTGGTTAACTCCACCAGTACTATCTCCATTTCTGACTGACAGAGAGCAAACAGGTTGGTTTTCTCCTACTGCCCTTTAGTGGTTGGAGACTAGTTTCCAACATTGTTGAAAATGTCACCTCTATTTTAAACATATTCCTTCCAGGAAAGAATGATTTTCTAGCATAAGATCAGGGAGACTGAAGTGAGAGAACAGTTTAGTGTTGTATGGAAGTTTCCAGTCACAGGCGGAGCAAAACACCGAAGAAGCTGAAGAATACAGGGTGCATCAAGTTGCTGGAGCCCAAGTCATGCTCCTCAGAAGGCACCCGCGCCGAGGTTCACACTTCCCCGGAGAGAAGGTCTCGCCCAGAGAGAAGCATTCCAGTCCTCATCATTAAGAAATACCCAAACAGTGCATCTAGAGGGAGGCCCGCTCTTTGCAGAAGGTTTCTAGGGAAGAGCCAGAGCAACCTGATGGTCTCCAGACCAACCCTGGCCAGAGTCTCAAGGAGAGCTGGGCAAGTCCACAACGTCTGGTCAGAGCTGGGCCCCAGTATTCAGGTCTTGAACATCAGGAAGCCCCCAAATGCAGTCCCTGGTGGGCTTCTCTTTATTACTGATCCCTGGGTTAACTCAAACCACACTCTCTCACCCTTTTGCAGCTCCGCCATAGCAAAGGTTGTCGCCGTGCTTCCACTCCTCTGCTCCTCAGTGGCACAGACAGGGGTCCGATGGTGACCTCCAAACACCAGTTGCCCGGTGCCTGGCCCCGGGCCAAATTCAATGCTCACTGCAAATAGGTAGACCCCACGCTCGGGGGCTTGGAAGTAGCCATCTTCAGGGAAGTAGCTGCTGCCAATGTTGATGTAAGTAGTGTTGAACTTCACTGTCTGTAGGGCAGCTGTCCCTTCTGAAAAGCTGGCATAGAAGGCCACAGGGGAGCCTGGAACGCAGGAAGAAAGTGCTCAGTGACTCGGTTCCTCACTTCCTTGGACGGGAAATTAAACCCTGAGACCTATCTTCCTCCCTTTATTAACATTAGAAACAGCTCACTATTGCTAGATAACCTAGATATCCCCAAGAGCAATATATCTCAGAGTGGGGGCTAACAGGCCAATTCTTAGTATTTCATTAATTGAGAGAAAGGAAAATACAAGTCTGTTGTTTCTACTGGTGTAGTTTTTTAAAAGCACTTTCTTGTTTGATCCCTTTTCCTTCCAACATCCTTGAGACATAAGTACCCCTGACTGAGGACACTTTGAGTCTTGAGCCTAACTGGTCCAATGCTTAACATGGCTTATCAATGGCAGACTGAGACAGGAACCCCGCACTCTTGACTCTCATATTACTGTCGGTACTGCTAGGGATCTTGAGGTACCCAAGGG